GACCACTATTATAAATGACAATCTTAACTTGTTTATTGTCCTTGTCATGGTAACACTGAACACTATTATAAATGACAATCTTAACTTGTTTCTTGTCCTTGTCATGGTAACACTGAACACTATTATAAATGACAATCTTAACTTGTTTCTTGTCCTTGTCATGGTAACACTGACCACTATTATAAATGACAATCTTAACTTGTTTATTGTCCTCGTCATGGTAACACTGACCACTATTATAAATGACAATCTTAACTTGTTTCTTGTCCTCGTCATGGTAACACTGACCACTATTATAAATGACAATCTTAACTTGTTTCTTGTCCTTTTCATGGTAACACTGACCACTATTATAAATGACAATCTTAACTTGTTTCTTGTCCTCGTCATGGTAACACTGACCACTATTATAAATGACAATCTTAACTTGTTTATTGTCCTCGTCATGGTAACACTGACCACTATTATAAATGACAATCTTAACTTGTTTCTTGTCCTTGTCATGGTAACACTGACCACTATTATAAATGACAATCTTAACTTGTTTATTGTCCTCGTCATGGTAACACTGACCACTATTATAAATGACAATCTTAACTTGTTTATTGTCCTTGTCATGGTAACACTGACCACTATTATAAATGACAATCTTAACTTGTTTCTTGTCCTTGTCATGGTAACACTGACCACTATTATAAATGACAATCTTAACTTGTTTCTTGTCCTTGTCATGGTAACACTGACCACTATTATAAATGACAATCTTAACTTGTTTCTTGTCCTCGTCATGGTAACACTGACCACTATTATAAATGACAATCTTAACTTGTTTATTGTCCTTGTCATGGTAACACTGACCACTATTATAAATGACAATCTTAACTTGTTTATTGTCCTTGTCATGGTAACACTGACCACTATTATAAATGACAATCTTAACTTGTTTCTTGTCCTCGTCATGGTAACACTGACCACTATTATAAATGACAATCTTAACTTGTTTCTTGTCCTCGTCATGGTAACACTGACCACTATTATAAATGACAATCTTAACTTGTTTATTGTCCTTGTCATGGTAACACTGACCACTATTATAAATGACAATCTTAACTTGTTTATTGTCCTTGTCATGGTAACACTGAACACTATTATAAATGACAATCTTAACTTGTTTCTTGTCCTTGTCATGGTAACACTGACCACTATTATAAATGACAATCTTAACTTGTTTATTGTCCTTGTCATGGTAACACTGAACACTATTATAAATGACAATCTTAACTTGTTTCTTGTCCTTGTCATGGTAACACTGAACACTATTATAAATGACAATCTTAACTTGTTTCTTGTCCTTGTCATGGTAACACTGACCACTATTATAAATGACAATCTTAACTTGTTTATTGTCCTCGTCATGGTAACACTGACCACTATTATAAATGACAATCTTAACTTGTTTCTTGTCCTCGTCATGGTAACACTGACCACTATTATAAATGACAATCTTAACTTGTTTCTTGTCCTTTTCATGGTAACACTGACCACTATTATAAATGACAATCTTAACTTGTTTCTTGTCCTCGTCATGGTAACACTGACCACTATTATAAATGACAATCTTAACTTGTTTATTGTCCTCGTCATGGTAACACTGACCACTATTATAAATGACAATCTTAACTTGTTTCTTGTCCTTGTCATGGTAACACTGACCACTATTATAAATGACAATCTTAACTTGTTTATTGTCCTCGTCATGGTAACACTGACCACTATTATAAATGACAATCTTAACTTGTTTATTGTCCTTGTCATGGTAACACTGACCACTATTATAAATGACAATCTTAACTTGTTTCTTGTCCTTGTCATGGTAACACTGACCACTATTATAAATGACAATCTTAACTTGTTTCTTGTCCTTGTCATGGTAACACTGACCACTATTATAAATGACAATCTTAACTTGTTTCTTGTCCTCGTCATGGTAACACTGACCACTATTATAAATGACAATCTTAACTTGTTTATTGTCCTCGTCATGGTAACACTGACCACTATTATAAATGGGGTCTGCTTGGACAATCCTTTCTCTCTTTATGTCTATGTTCTTAAGGTCAGACACCATCATTCTAAGATGTAAGTTGTACGGATAATTACCGTAGGCCCTCTTGCTGCCACTGCATGTAGATATATTTCAATTCTTCGACAATTTCTGAAGCAAATTGATAAAAATATGTGCATTTTATCAGTCCATTTTTCAATGAAATAAACTTTATAGTATCTCCTTCAATAAAATCTCTTCAGCACTAATAAGGCCAGGTTTTATAGTGACAAAGCCTATTTCTGTGCCTCCCAGACAGTGGCGGATCCAGGAATGTCAAAACGGGGGGGGGGGGGGCGGGCAGTAGAAGCCAGGGGGTCTGCATTGAAGCCCCCCAGTGGGTCTAGAGCAAAGCCCTGGTGGGGGTCCGGGGCTGACGAATTCTTACAATAAGAGATGTTTTTCCTTGATTTTAGGATAATGGACATGTAAGTTCTACATATAAAAAATTCAAACGGGGGGGGGGGGGTGTCCGCCCGGCGCGCCGGCCCTTGAACCGCCTTTGCCAGATGCAGTTTGCTGTGGTGTATACAAATAGCTAAGCTTGGTGTTTTAGAATGTAGTTCAAGCGATGTATAAAACACCTCTTTTAGGGTTTGTAATCCTAACTACAAAGGCCCACATCGAACATACTGAAATGGGTTAATTATTGAAAATCTAAATCATAGCCTTTTTTTGGAGCGTTCGAACAATTTTTGACTGAGCTATGACCCTTTGAGAGGGTGGGGGGGGGGGATAAGTGTTTCACAAACATTTCTTGTTTTACCTATAATTGTCTCGCTGAATGCTAGAAATTCTTGTTTATAGTGTCATCAGGTACATGATGAGGGAAATCTTGTATTTCATTCTGAATAACATTTGTTAGATCATGTAAAAGTGTATATGCTAGCACCTCGTAAGTAGTATAGGCGTCCGTTGGCCACCCCCTAACACCTGCTCACCTGTCAATTATGTAAATGAAGACCTGCTCACCTGTCAATTATGTAAATGAAGGTCAGAGGGGTGAATACATTAAACCTGATCGATTTTAATTAGGGATCCCAATCGATAAAAGATCAAGGTCAACTGACGTGTGGGGTTAATTAAGATTAATTGTATGCAACGTTGATAATTAGCATAACGATTAGGACGACTGAATGGTGACGTATAGTTTTCTTCCTCCTTCACGAATCAATTAATTTTCAGATAAATGATATTAAATATTGACTCTAAGGATAGAGATAAAAAGGAAATGAGTAGATTAAAATTACGTACATAAATAGAAATGAAAGACACAGAATTTAATTTCAGGGAAAATCCAGATCAACGTTTAGAGAGGAAATAATTCACCGATGTTAGTCCCCCCCCCCCTCTTTCAACACACACATACACCAACACCCTAAGCCTCTCACACACACATTTTTAGGAATTTTCCAGAATTATGGAAAGTCTGTGTGTGAAAATTAAATTTACATCATCTTATGGAGAGTTTAATTTTTATAATTGTACACCTTTGAAATTGAAGTTTTCTTTCTTCCTTTTTTTTGAGGGGGGGATAATAAATTTAAAGATCATGATTCTGATTCTTTTCTTGGAATGTAATATAATTTGACATGACGAATCACTCTGCAGAACATTCTTAAAGAGACTTTTTATAATTTCAAAAGCAATGTCCAATCACGTGAATTATTGGTAAAGATTTTGCTTATAAATGATCCATTTCAACGCATTTAGATTAGTGTTCCCATAGACAAGCGGAAGATGACCGAGGAAAAGTGCTCTCTGCGAAAGCGCTGTACTGCGCTACGAACCAGTGGAATTCTTGGAATACTGGCAGCTTCATGTATGATTGTGGCTTTGACAACCATTTCCAGTTTATCTACAAGATCATCCGTAGTGGAATCACCACATCAGAATGAATCCTTTATTGATATCAAAGCGAATGACACACTGTGTGAATTCATACAATCTTTTTCAATCTCTGGAAATGTATTTGTGACCGTATGCTTATATGGAAATATTATGCGTGTGGACCTGAGGGTTTTCTTAAATAAGAAAGCCACTATAAAAGGATTGTACCTGACTACGACACAATGGAAAAGACTATTACAGATCATTCCATTAATTAATGACACAATGAAGAAGTTTCAGTAATTCTGCATAAAAGAAAAAAAAAATAGTATTGGATACTCTCTATTTTTTAATTTCATGAAAAAAAAACAATATCTTGTTGGACATCTTGTGGTTATTTTGTTCTTTCTTCTCTATTGGTTTTACATCTGGGATCTGTGAAATGAAATAAATGAAGAATAAATGGAAATAAAGTAAAACTGATTTCATTTTTTTTCTGAGAAAATAAAACGGGAATCCAGTTTACTCCGGGAAAACAAATACGACTTTCGTGAAAAAGAGGAAAAATCTATCGTATGACCGAATAAGGTTTTCCTTTTCATTCCATCGAAATTAATCCAATTTTTTTTTTTACATACAGATTACTTGTTTTTCTATGGAGAGTGAGAGAAGGAATGTGACGAATTTAAAGAAAAATATTAAATGTAAAGAAAAAAAAACATTGTATAGACTTACGGAGGAATGATGATCTCCTCCTGGTCTTCTTCCTGGACGTGGTTTTCTTTCTGGTCTTCCTCACTGAATTCCCTGAAATGAAGAAAATAAATATTAGTTAAAAGGAAAAAAAAAGTCACTTATTATGATAAATATTTTCACCTGTACATTTCCTGAAGTAGTCGCAGAAAAAAAAATGTATTCTTTTAAAGTACATTCTTGTACGATATACATATATTTATTAAGGGTTAATTGTTTTGAAATAAAAAAAGAGAAAACTTACAGCGGAACACACGCCAATTCCGACTCCGAACTACAATATAAAAAGGAAAATTACCGTGTGTGAAGGAAACAGTATTTTAAACACTTAATTTCTAATTCAGTTAATTTCTTTTGTTTAAACTTATATTGATGTTTGATAATTGTGAAAGTCACTACTCACTCGGAACCGATCAGAATGGGGCCCGACTCGTTACTGAAATTTTATATTTACATAATTTAATTTAAAAAAAAAAGAATTGACAAATAACCTGAAAAGAAAACAATCAGAGGATGTGTTGATTTTTTTTCCTTGAAAATTTTTGTTCTGTACCGAGACTTAATTATAAGACAATTTATATTTCCATTTGCTTTTTATACTTCAAAGTAAAAAAAAAAATGTATATATGGACGAGAGGAGATAATGATTGTTCTAACCTTATTGGGGAGACCTCCCACTTTGGGAGAATAGATTCATCGGCATTCCTTAAAAAGAAAGAAAGGATGAAAGTGATACATTTTCTTGGAAAGAATTGTAATTCTCCATTTAAGTTTCAATTATAGTATATAAATGTCAAAACACTCAAAGTGAAACTTACTGATTAGTTCGTTTTCTGAGGAGAGTCCTTGGACGACTGGGGAAAAAAAACACAAGAAATTTAAGATGAAGGAAAATATTTAATCTAGACTAAGCGTTTAAAGACAAGTGATTAAAGAGAGAATACTAACCAAAGTCTCGGTCTTTTGGGGGCACTGGGAGTTTTAAACCTTTAAAAAGTAATGAAACATTGACTTTTATTGAATAAAATGATTTATCTGGTTAGTGTTAAAAAATAAGCATACAATATATCACCTGAATCAATTTTTTTGTAAAAAGGATGAATAAAAATACACTTTAACTGACCAGGCCCCCTCCACTTTAGGAGTTGATGTTCTCCTCTCTCTACTACATACTCTGTGCTCTTTTCGTCTATATTAAGAGAAGGCGAATGTTGATCAATGTGAAAATTAAAAATAAATTACTTAACATTAGAAGTCATTGAAAAAGATTTTCCATTCACAATTTAATTTAATCCACAATTAGACAGATACTCACGGACACTTCATGGTCCTCATGACCTCCTGGATTTTGACCAGGTAAAAATGGATCTCCTCCATTTTTGAACAATTGCAAACGCTGTAATATTTTAAACGAGTTTACTCTAAGACGATTAATTCAAATTTTTATTTATTTATTTTCTTTCCAATTAGGTTTATTTCTATCTTTCTATTTATTTATTTTTTATGCGTGAAAAATAATGAATGAATGAATAATAAAAGTATTAATCAGAAATTAGGTGGGTGGGGTGGGGGGGGGGCATATTCACTCACCTTTCCATAGTCTTCGTATCCTTAATCCAAAAAGTATAAGATTCCTCACGAAGAGTTACAAAAATTAATACAACACTTTTTTATACCCCCCTCCCCGATCCCTAGCAGATGGTTTTTTTAATTCGATAATAATTGGAGTAAATTTAAATTAATGAGTCGGATATTCTGACAGGGCGGAGCTAAGGTTATGAAATAAGATAATTCCAATGAAAATTCTGAATTCTCTCAAATTTCGGATCATGAAATAAATGAAAAATAAAGAGTAGAAATGAGCATACACATTACATGTATGAACTGAGTCGTCAAAGAAAAAAAAAGGTTTATTTCGAAAAGTCAAATGCAATGTTTCAACGAATCCAAAAAAAAAAAAAAAAAAAAAAAAATAAAACAAAAAAGTTATTGTTGTCTGGCTTAGTGCATGATGTGGACTCCATTTTTTTTCTCTCTCTAGGTCAGCATCACTAATTGAGTAATTATTTGGCTGGGTAACTGTTAAAGTTTAATAAAAGATATTTTATCAGAGATAAAAGTTGCATCTATACACTCTTCATTTCGGACGTATTATTTTGTCGTTTTAAGTGCAAAATGTGTTTGTCTGTGCTTTTTTGTTTTATCATGGTTATACTGTGTGTGCCTTACGCTTCCTGTTCCTGTTCCTGTGAAACCGAATATCAAATAGCCACCTGTTACCAAGTATCGGTGTGTCCAGTCAATGCAGAGGTCGTAAGAGTAGAGTGTCACGTTAATGAAATTATAACCAATACCGAGATTCCTCAGGTGATCATTCGCGGGGAGTGTCGGAATTTAACGCAATACACCTTCTTGTGCAGATATAAAATAAAAGAGATTAAATTGACATCAACCGGTGAACATTTTTTATGCGAAGGTAATATCTTTTTCTTAAGATATCATTGCATACTGATGTTACGATGGTGGTAAAAGAATAGCATGACACCTAAATATTAATATGTATGTAGAACAAGAAAGGAAAGAGAATTAGGATTATAATGTGAAGTTGTCCCGAAAACATTTCTCACAATGAGATCAATGCTTTATTTAAAAATCAACTAATGAGCCTATAATCCCCAGCATCCTTTTGATTAACACACCCTTGTCGGGTACATCAAAGATTTTTGTACTCTATAAGTAGACTCTTTCACTCGTGGGAAAATTGACTTTCTCCACAATCTTTGTCTCGCAAGTCACCTGGTCTTTTATTCTTCCGCTTTTTGTTTTTTGGTCTTATTGCATTATTGTTAAAAATGACGTGTGATCTACACGACGGCGAGGTCAGGTGTGGAGGTAATGTTAATTTTGTCGATGAAGAATTGAATTAAATATGCGCATTTTTGTTCTCTTTTCTTTAGAGAAATTTAAATGGATCGACGATGATTTATAAACGTTTATCATTTCTTTTTCTAATGAAAGAATAATTATTTCAGTTGCAACAACAATGAACCCTCTGACGTCTGCAGTGGCAGAGAGACGTGAGTCTTCTTTTCTATGTCATGCTTTTGAAGTTGATGAGATTTTTTAATTAGATTAATTAAATTCAGATCTGTAAAATGTGGAATCAAGTGGAAACAAAAGCGATTAATGAATTGAATTGAGCATTTTTACAGATCTAATTTATTAAAAAAAACCGTTTATTGATTTTTTTTCTGCATTAATGTGATCCATGTCACTATCTGATAATCATATTTTCCTTTGCTTCATTGATAAAAGAAAAAAAAAAGTTAAGAATCACAGACGACCAGTATCAATTATATCTTTCATTCTGATGAAAATAAAAAAGAACTTGATTATAATTTTAACCTATGCTTTACATCGTAAGTGATCACGTTAATGTTGAAAAGTTTTTGATTTACGTTTTAATTGACATGAAGTTATTTTTATTCATTTTGTTTGTACCAAATAATTATACAAAAAAGGAAGTTTTATTCTTATACCAAGGTCTAGAAAATATTTCTCACATCTTTTAAACAGTTCGATACATTTTATTACAAATACTTTTCTTTGGACTTTAGAAGTCACATCAGAGAAGCACTCTAAACCGGAACTGACGGCTACGGTTCCGATCAGCACTCCACGTCTCTCCGATCAGACTCACCACAGTGACATTCCATCCACACGCACGACTCCTAAGCTTTTACAGATATTAATCAATTCTTTCACCACCAAAACAAACACAACCCATTACCACACACCATATAATGTCACCGACTCATTATTCGTTACCCCAGAAATCCGGCAGACAAACGACAATTTCACTTTAGCTATTAACACTAGTACCCCGTCTTTCCTCGCTGCGACTATGTATGATAAATTAACTAACACAACTAATGATTCTATTATAACTGTTTTAAATACTAACAATCCGCATGTTCCATCCCCCACCCTGCATGACATCACTGCGGTGAGTCGAACAACCCCTCCTCTTATACCCGAGACGTCAAATAGTAGTTTCAACGAGTTGGATCCTGTGGACTCTCTGGGTATTTAGCATGATGTGTATATAAGTATATATATATATATATATATATATATATATATATATATATATATATATATATATATATATTCGCATTTATTAATTTATTTTACACATGTATTCATAAATTTTTAATTCTCTTTGTATTTAACATTTTATTTTCAGTTTTAGTTGCATGTTGAAAATAATTTCCCATCAGTTCATTTAAAAAAAAATGAATACAAGTAATTATATAATGCGTGGTTTTGTTTCTGTTTTGTTTTGGTTTGGTTTGGTTTTTTTTTTTTTTTTTTTTTTTTTTTTTTTTTTGATATGTACATTTAGAAAGTGAAGTTCAGAGGGGAAAAAATAGGAATCGGAAATTGTGTCAAGAAAATCTAATTAATAAAAATCAAATAAAAAACAAAGATTATATAATTTTAACGATGCGATGTTTCTCTTTTTCCGAGAAAATTTTATGTTAAAAAGAAGCGTAAGTTTATTATACATAAGAAACTTATTTAGGTTATCTTTTGATCTAGTAAACGAGGCCTTAGGAGTGGGTATAAGTGGATTGGTGCTTGCCCTCGCCCTTGCCCTCGCCCTGTGTCTGCGCTATCTCCTAGAGAGATGGCGCAGACACAGAAGTAGGAGGTTGGCAGCCTTTGAGAGAAGCGTGAGATACCGGCACGGCGACGAGGACACTACTCCAAAGTGTGTCCTCGACCATGAGATGGCAGCCATGACTTCCGGGAAGCGCCGCGCACCACCGCCCCCAACACCCGGCAAGGGGGAAAGGAGGCCACACACACGAAGTATGGGCCCCATTGTGGAGGTGTAATTTTTTGTAATAAAGAAATCCTTGAACCCATGGGGTGTTATTGTCTTTTTATTCAAATCATTCAGGAAATGAAGGAAATAGTAGTCGAGTATTACGGAATACGTTTAAATATCTTGTTATTTACTTGATTTTTTTTTAAAGAAAAGATTAACTTTTATTGCACATTAGAAGTGTACATAATGTATCTTTTTTTGACTCATTTTTATGGAGGAGTTCATTTAGATAAAATCTACAAAATACGGATGATGAAATCGTTGAAAGTATAGGAAGTTTTTTTTTTCCATCAAGAATTCTTCTTCAGCAAGATGTGGATTTGTCCATTAAAAATTAAGTAAAGGTGAAATGACAAATGAAACAGCTGAAAAAATATCGCATAAAAAATGTAAATGACGTATCGACGTTTTGAGATGATATTGCATGAAAATGACATCTGGTAATGTAGAAAATGAATTAAATGAATAAGTTATATAAAAAAAAAATCTTTGCACTTAAATGTTAAAGAAATTGGACAATGAAATGCTTTCATTTTAAAGTGGATACTCTGTTTAGAGATTTGTGAAGCTAGACAATCTGAACGTTGTCTTTCAATAAATTTTGTTAAGGAAAAAAAATCAATATAACAGGAGATGGGTTAGACTATGATAGAAATTAATGAAACCCTAGTCAATAAATATTAATGTTACTTTGTTTCATTACGAATCAATAAATTAAGTATCGAAATCTGAGAGTGAAGAAGTGATGCAAAATTTAGATTGTTTGAACGCATGAAATACAATCCTTAAAAATATCCTCCCCCCAGCCCCAATCCATTCTCTTAGCTATTCAGTCAGCATCCTGATTTTTACGCATCATCAGGAATATCCAATGAGAGTAATTTAATCACTGCAAAATAATGAATCATATTTTTTCTTCATCACTTTGTTCCAGAACGTTATGAAATCACGGTGAAATCTATTTGAGAAGACTATATACACCCTCCTCCCCCCCCCCCCCCCAGTCAAAATGTGTCAGTGTGGATATTGTCATCTAATATTTGATACATACGACAGTGTGATGAAACATGAGAAATTACACGAAAAAGATAATTTCAGGTACGTCAATAATTTGATTTATCAATTTTTTTTAGTGAACCATTTTTTTGTTGTTGCTTTCTTTCAAATATAATCACAGGCGCAAGAGCGGTAACTCTGTTTTTGTTTGTGTTTCGCTTTTCATTCGGTAAAATCAAAATAGCAACTGTAATACAGGGAAAGTGTTTTTTTAAACGATATATAATCTCTTTACAACTGATGATTGTTTCAGAGAATCAAAAAGAATAAACATGAGATAGAGGAGGGGGATTTTATATAGAAAACAAACGTAATGTCGGGGGGGGGGATCAAAGAATGAAAAAAAAATCACAAATTGTC